ATCCCTGTTTCTTCTCTGAAGAGGTGTCTGTTCAAATCTTTTGCCTATTTTTATTGTTTTCTTACGAGTGAGTTTTGAGAATTCTTTATATATTCTAGATACAAGTCCTTTATCAGATATGTGGTTTGCAAATATTTTCTTCCAGGCTGTGGCTTCTTTTTTCATCCCCTTTACAGTGTCTTTCACAAAGGAGAAGTTTTTAATCTTGATGAAGTTTAGTTTTTTAATCTTTTTCTATTATGGCTCATGATTTGGGTGTTGTGTCTAAGAAACCTTTGCCTAACCTAATCACAAAGAATTTCTCCTGTGGTTTCTTCTAGAATGTTTGTAGCCTATTTCTAACTCTCTATTCTGTTTCATCCATCTATACGCCTATCTTGTAACCAACACCACACTATCTTGATTATTATAATAAGTCTTAAAATCAGGTAGTCTGAGTCCTCCAACATTTTTTTTCAAAATTATTTTGGTTAGTTCAGTTACTTTGTATTTCCATGTACATTTTGAATAATCTTATCAATTTTTACCAAAAAAAAATCTTGCTGTGATTTTGATTGGGATTTCATCAAACATATGGGTTAATCTGGGAAAAATTTTGGCAACTTAACAATATGAGTCTTCCAATCCATGAACGTGATGTATCTCTTCATCTATTTAGGCCTTATTGCACTGTTTAGGAATTCTAGTTTTATGCCAAATAGGAGTAGTAAGAGCAGATGTCCTTGACTGTTCCCATCTTAAGGGAAAAGCATTAAGGCTTTCACCATTAAATATGTTAGCTCTAGGTTTTTGTAGCTATCCTTTACGAGGCTAAGGAAGTTCCCTTCTACTCCTACTTTGTTGAATATTTTTTTTAATCCTGAATGGATTTTGAATTTTATCCAAAAAAACTTTTTGCATCTATTAAGATGACCATATATTTTTTTCTTCTACTATATGTCAATATGGTGAATATATTAATTGATTCAATGACTGCTGAACCAGCCTTTCATTTCTAGCATAAATCTCACTGAGTCATGATATATTATCCTTCATACAATTTCTGGATTCAATTTGCTCACATTTTGTTGAAAAATTTTAAATCTATATTCATGAAGGATTTGGTCTTTCGTCTCTTTTCTTATAATGTCTTCATCTGATTTTGTTATCAGGATAATGCTGACCTCATAAAACAAGATGAAAAGTGTTCCTTCCTCTTCTATCTTCTGGAAAAGTTTATGTAAATTTTTTTTTAATTAACCCCACATATCCTTCATTACCTGAATATAAAATCATCTCATCCATGAAGCCTTCCCCAGTCCCACAGTACTGTCTTTAACTCTAGTAATGGTAAGAAGGAGGAGGAGGAGGAGGAGGAGGAGGAGAAGAAGAAGAAGAAGAAGAAGAAGAAGGAGAAGAGGCCTACAGTATTGCCTGCTTATGATTGCACAGGTCCTACATAATAAACATTTATTATTGTATATAACATTCCCAGAAATCCTCTGAGGGAGGTATTATTTTTATTTCTTCATAAATGTGTAAATCTAGGCTCAGAGTTGCTAAATAACTTGCCCAAGTTTACGTATTCTTTTATCCGATCACCAAGTTTTTCTTGCGTGCCTACTAAATTTTAAGGTGTCAAGAAATGAACCCCCAACACAGTCTGCTCCCTTATCCTTCCTTAGAGCTTCTCACAGTGTGGCCCTTCCATCACCAGAATCAGTCACCTAGGAGCTTGTTAAAAAATGCATATTTCCAGGCTCCAATCCAGCCTTCTGTAGTGGAAACTCAGGGGAGGAGATCTGTTGGAAGCAGGAATGTGGATTTTGAATGAGGTTGCCAGGGGATTTGAATGCACCACTTCTACTCCCAGAGTAGCTCTTAATTACATGAGGCCTTGTGTTAATAGCTATTTGTAAATTTCTCACCCATCCCCTTACTAGACTGTAAGCTCCCTACAGGATGCAGTGTCTTACGAGTGTTGCTATCCTCAAAATAGCCAAATGCCCATAGTCATTGTCAGACAATCACTGAACTAAAATAAATGGGCCTTCCCCACTTCACAGCAAATAAAAGAGGCATGAGCATTCCATTCAAGGGGGCTTCCAGGAGGAGGTGAGCTGTCTAAGGATTCTCACTTCAGTTGACAAGGAAGAAAGAGTTTGGTACAGAGGAGGAAAGAGGTTCACTTGAATTCACACTAGGACTCACAGGCAAATAAAGGGAGTGAACCACACAAGGGAGGGTGTCCCAAACATTCTGCAACATCATCAGGATATAAATATTTAGCCCAGTTCCCTATGGTAATAGAGCTCGTAAAAACGCTTCTGCTGTGTCCATCTCCCTTGTAAAGCCCAGGACCTGACAAGTCAATTACCAGATTTAGTGGAGGATGGGCAGAAGCCCTGGTGGGAGGGGTGTGATCCAGATTCAGGACTAGGCTCCTGGGACTCCTACGAATCTCTCCCCTGAGCTGGCCCCTTACTCCATTACCTGCTTATAGACAGATTTGTTTCAGGCCTCAGGCCTGTATCCCTGAGTTAATTTACAAGGTTAATTTTGCTTGGAGTCCATCCAACATGAAAGTAACACGTGTCTGAGTAGATCTGAAAAGAAGGGCCATGCCCCAAGTGGGGTAGGAGTGAGGAGCTATGAGCCATAGAAGGAGACTCACACCACTGATAGTCTCAGGAATTCAGGTAGTTGGGAACAAAAGCTGCCACTTTACCTGCCTCCTCCAAAAGTTTATAACCCTCAGAAAGTTATAAAACAGCTCATCATTCCTAAAGACTTTGAACAGTGCGTGAATTGGGGGTGAAGGCCTGGGTTCTATGCCTGCCCTGGGCCTCAGTTTCCTGACCTAAATCAGAGGTTTACATTCACTGCCTGCTAAAGCCCCTTCTTGCCCCAAATGTCTGGAACACTAGACCCTGTTTAAGGTCGTGCTTGCATTTGCATGGTACATACACCCTAAATTAGCCAGGCCTCTCGTACTGCTCCTTCCCAGCCTGCACCCCTACCTCCACAGACCTCTCCACCTGCCAACGCCTAGGCAGCGTTCAGGGCCCTTCTCTGAGCACCAATCACATCACCATAGAATTATTGGCCTCGTGTATTGTCACCTTGCCGCCTACAGCCTTCAGAACTCTTCCTGTCCAGCACCCTCAAACCTGGGGCCAGCTGGTCTGGGGACAGGTGAAGCCACCTAATCACTATTCATGCCTTTCCTCCCCTGCATTTCTCAAAGCCATCTCTACAACTTCTAGAAACAAGAAGAACCTCTCAGATTCAGCAAAAACCTCACCAAGATTTTGAAACTAGAGTAGAATCCCTCGGTATTTTTTTTTTCCGAATTGTTTTAAGCCACATCTGTTGCGTCTGAATACCATATACATGAAGCTTGACCTGACCCAACCTAAGCTACCAAATCCCATTTGTGCAATTCTGGCCAGTCTAATACTAACCCCTAAAAGCCCATCCCACCTGCTGAGCCATTCCTGAGCTCCCAGGAGGCCCTGGTCAGGTGATAAGACCTTTTTGGGAAAGGGGCTGAAGTCATCTTCACGCTCACAGGAGAAGGCTGCCCTGATTGGGACATTCAGGGGTAGGGGCTTCCTGAGGGTTGCTGCGTGACAGGAGAAAATAAGGGTCTATTATCTGCTGAAGGTGTTCAGCCCTGGAAGCTCAGAGATACAGACAGCCTGCAGGGGAGTGCAGGGGGCTCAGCTGGTTTGCCCTGAGGAAGAGCCTCAGACCAGAGCATTTGTCAGAAAGGGTGAGAGTAGGGGACAGTCTGTGGGGAAATGCTTATTAAGAGGGGTGGTTTTTTCGGGAAAGGGAATTTTCCACAAATCCCCCTGTCGATCTCCTGGCAATATCACAGTCCCCAGGTCTGGCAAATACTTTCTGAAAACATCACGTTTGTCCCCTGATTCCAAGGCTAGTCCCTCTTCATCATGATTCTTAAAGACCTCCAGAAGAGGGGCCAGCCAAGTGGCTCAGTTAGTTAAGAGTTCGAGCTCTGAGACAGGGTGGCTGGTTCGATTCCCACATGGGCCAGTGAGCTGCACCCAAGCTGAGCAACTGCGAGTTGACGACGGATGGCCAGGTGGCTCCGTGTGCCACAAGGTTACCGGTTCGACTCCCTCATGGGATGGTGTACTACGCCTGCCACCCCACCCCCACCCCCACCCCCACCCCGCAACTAGATTGAAAGCTGTGACTGGACTTGGAGCTGAGCTTGCGCCCTCCACAACTAAGATTGAAGACAAGTTGACTTGGAGCTGATGGGTCCTGGAAAAACACAATGTTCCCCTTCCTCAATTCCCCAACACTGTTCCCCTCCCCAATTCCCCAATTATAAAAACAAAAAAAAAGACTTCCAGAAGAAAAAATCCCTTGGCTTCTCCCAGCCACACTGCCTCAGGGCAATACATTCTTCCTCCAGCAAGCTTCTCATTTATCCTTTCCAAATCTCTTCATTTTCTGGTGTCTGAAGTTAAAAAGCAATGAGTAATAGCTCCTGGCTACCCATTTCTGCCAGAGGCTTGACATTAAACACACATCACATGATATGAATTGCAAATGAATTTTATTGTGCAGACACCAAGACCACAGCACTTTAGATGCAGACCCAACAAGAAGGACTATATACACAGAAACACATTTCCCTGGGTCACTGCCAGGGGAAAGGCGCAGGCTTTGAAATGGGGTCCTCAACAGAATACTTGTCAGAGGGGAAAGGGACCACCAACTGGGCAATGCAAGGAGGGGCTGGGAATGGAAGCATGGCTGAAAGCACAAACCTAGACAATGCAGATTCTTCCCCAAGGGACAGAGAGTGTCACTGGGTCCAACTCATTTGTTTGGAGAGGAGATATTTCAAAAACTCTATGCAAGCATTCCTTTCCCCAAAAATGCTATCAGAGGTGGATGACAAGTTTTGATCTGCCATCAATTAGATGTATAGAGACAAGCTTCTACATTGTGGAGTGGGACAGTCGGGGGGGGGGACTCCATCTTTATCTAAAAGATAAATTTGTGTGGGAAGCGTAACCGTCACCTGAGCCAGAACCAGCCTTGTCAGAGCTAGAGCCGCCCCCTTTATAGCCGCCCCCAGAACTATACCCCCCTCCAGAGCCTCCTCTAGAGCCCCCTCCAGAACCATATCCTCCCCCAGAGCCAGAGCCTCCCCTGGAGCCACCGCCCCAGCCAGATCCTCCTCCAGATCCTCCTCTAGAACCTCCTCCAGAACCAGATCCTCCTCCAGAGCCTCTAGATCCTCCTCCAGAGCCTCTAGAACCTCCTCCAGAGCCATAGCCCCCTCCACCACCACTTCTGGAGCCTGACCCTCTGCCTCCAGAGCCGTAACTGCTGCTTCCAGAGCTGTAGCCTCCTCCTCCTCCAGAGCCAGATCCTCTCCCTCCAGAACCTTGGCCTCCTATGCCAGCCCTGGATGCCGTACTTGAAGACATGGTGCTGCTCGTCACAGCTGCAGAGAGAGAGACAGGATTATGAGAGAAGTTCTGACCTTCTCGGCCTGCCTCCACCCAACACACCATCCATAGGACAGGGCCACGCCCCCCACTTACACACAGTCACGTTGCTGCTGAGGTCTCCAGACATCCTGTCAGGGAGAGAGAGAAAAGTACTCATGGCAGAGCATTGGGTTCAGCATGCATAATGTTTTACAACTGCCAGTTAGCCTCTAACATCACCCACCAGAGCCTCACAGAGGCCCCTCTCCTCTGTGCTGCCAGATCACGGAGATTGGGCTGGCCCCACGTTTCCACATGGCCTGGCCTCCCAATCCATCTCAACTTTTTGCCCTGATAAAAATGATCAAAAAGCAAATTCACTCTGACTTTGCATCCCATTTTTGTATATAAATCCATCGTAGGGAGTCTAATATTCAGAATGCCAGCCATGCCAGGAATTTTGAAATCAGGCTGCAATGTGTGAACATTCACTTCAGAAAGAACTGCAAATCTGTACAGCCTCCCTGACCCACCCTCGTCTGCTTCATCTAAAATCATTCCCACTGCCTCGTGCAAGCTGGAGGTAGGAGGCCTGGCCTCGCAGACAGGTACAGAACGACAGCGTGAGCCAAGAGGCCCCCTCTCTGTCAGACTGGCTTGCTGGTGGCCCAGGGCAGCTTTCCACCTTCAGTTGCTTCCGCCAGATTAAATCACCGGTGGTGCTAATAGCACTGACAAAGTTTTCAGACCACAGAGGAGAGAAATGTTCCCTTTTAGGGGGTTAGCAAATGGTTTTGTTTGTCCCTCCAGAAACCTGCCAAGAACTAGGTCTGGCATCTGCTCCTGGTGAGCATGCCCCAGCCAGTCCGCACGTTCCAACACACCATCTCCCCTTTCTAGGTCACAAGGTAGAGACAGAGAAGAGACTGCACACCCCGCAGACCCAGAGACCAAGGTTTCCCATTGTCTAGGACAAACCTATTTTCACAGGACCCCTTTTCTCTTTCAAAAAAGGCTAAGATTCATTTATTGCTCACTTTCATTTAAATTAATTTAATCTAGTTTACTCGACCTTGTTAGTCATTCCATGTTGATAAATCTACCACTGTACAATAATGCTTTATGTCTTGAGTCTCTGTTTGGGCAACATAGTGACATCAGTTCTCAGCCATCAGAAGGTCCTGCCCCACCCCTGCTTTCCCTGCCTTTGCCTTTAGCCCTGATTCTAAGAGAGAAGGGAGGGTGGACCAGGGGTCCTTCTGCCCTCCCCGTGCCCCTCACCTGTATTCCTCGCCCTCCAGCAGCTTGCGGTAGGTGGCAATTTCAACATCTAGGGCCAGCTTGGTGTTCATGAGCTCCTGGTAGTCACGCAGCAACCGGGCCAGCTCCTCCCGGGCCTGCTGCAGGGCTTCCTCTAGGTCAGTGAGCTTGTTCTTGGCATCTTTTATAGCATTCTCTCCCCTCTGTTCAGCATCTGCAATGTTGTCTTGCACATTCTTACACTAGGAGAGAAGGGGAAAAGGTTTCTGTTTGTACAGAGAGTGGAGTCTACCTGGCAGAAGGGGAGAGGGAACAGGTGTGGAAAGCCAGAATCACTGGCTCTGGAAATGTTGGGTCCCCGCCGGAGCTAATGCAAGTCGTAAATGACTGCTAAGACTTGCTGCTGTCTCTGGGGCATCATCTTCCCAAGTCACCTTTCACTGGACCCCTTATGCTGTCCCCACAAAGACCTTCGATTCTCATAACACAGGGCCAGAATCGTTATCCTATTGTATAGTTACCAGTGGAAACATCTACTGTGGACTGATCACAGAATTCTGTTGCTTGTGGAGTAGGTTCTGTGCCCCACATCATCTCTCCAAAGCTAATGTCCAGCCCCAGACCATCTCCCTGCAATACTCGTTACCCCTCCATCACACAGCTGGCTATGCCCAGGGCTGTGCCAAGCACAAGTGGGAAGCTACGGCTACAATCCACGGCAAGTTCAATGACCTCTTGCTTTATTTGTTATTGTTCCCTTTCACTGGTGTAAGCAATCAAAAGTGAAAACAATTCTTTCCCTACATTATTCCTTGCTTTAGAATGTCTCTTAGGCCACTTTAAAAATTGTTATAACCCTTAAATTATGTTAAGCCCGAAGCATTTGGGATTAACATATGCTAGATTCGAATTTCTCAATTTCCTCTCTCTCTCTCTCTCTCTCTCTCTCTCTCTCTCTCTCTCACACACACACACACACACACACACCTATACACAACCTCCCATCCCAACCCAGCCCCACTCCACCAGTGGAGCTGCACCGGTCCTCAGGGCCATGCCCCACCTGCTTTTTCACATGGTCGATCTCCCCTTTCAGTCTCTGGATCATGCGGTTCAGCTCGTTGATCTCCATCTTGATCTCTCTCACACTGTCTCCTTGTTTCCCGGCAGTGACCTGGAGTTCCTCATACTGTATGGGAAGAGGAGGACAGATGCAGTTGGAAGGAAGCTTGAGCCAAGGAAAATCTGATACTGGTCCAGGGAGGGTCAACCCAGCTTCATGGCATGGCTGTGTTCATGGGAGGTAGGAGACCATCTCGCACCCCCCAGAAGGACTCGGTGCCATTCTCAACTGAGAGCATTTGGGGTACTACAGACACTCTTTCTAAGGAATAATGCCTAACTTCCATTAAATAAAAACACCAGCACTCTTACTGTACACTTTCTGGCTGGCTAGAAGAAGCTGTTGTTCTCCCTGGGCTCCTGGTACTTGCCTTACTCTGGTACAGGGCCTCAGCCTCAGCCTTGCTCTTATAGGCGATCTCCTCATACTGACTCTGGACCTCAGCAATGATGCTGTCCAGGTCCAGGTTGCGGTTGTTGTCCATGGAGAGGATGACATTGGTGTCGGTGATAGTCTGATGCGTCTGAGACAGCTCCTGCAACACATGAGAGGTCTAGCCATGGCTTCCCTGCCCAGTGAGGAGGCACCCCCTCCCCAGTGTTCAGGAAACACACAGATTCTCAGACTCAGCATGCACTGTGTGGGATTTAAAGCAGTATAACCACCACTCCTGGGCCCCTGCCAATGTTATCCTGAGAATTATGGGAGACGGGTCTATATTTCTGAGCATCTAAGTTAACAGCCTTCAGCATTTATGCAGTTTTGGTAAATGCCCCAGGGAAGAAGCCAGTTGATGGAAAATGCCTTAAATTTTACCTCCTGTTTCAGAAGTCATGTGTGTGCATTTGGACAGGAAGTGGAGAGGTATGTTACATTTGACCTCCAAAGTATATTGGACAGAGGGTTGGGAACAAGACAGGTCTCTTCCTAAGGGAAGCTGGAATATTCAGGGAATGGAGTGAGGGGAAATTGTCCTGGTGTTTCCTGAGCCTCACTTCCTGTGACATCAGAGAAGAAAGTTGCTCTCCTCCATGACCTATGTCATAGAAGCCCCCTAGTGGCCTGGAATAATGGCGAGTTGAAGTCAGCCAGTCCATAAACCCCACTCAACTCAGCTTTTCACCAATTAGGAAGGACTTTCCTTTGGTGGGAAGGGTAGGAAGCAAACTTCTATCCAGGAGCAACCTCCTTACCGCATCAAAGAGGACTTTTGTGAACTCAAGCTCCTGGGTCAGCACATCCACCTTGGACTGCAGCTCCACCTTATTCATGTAGGTATTGTCCACATCCTACAGGAAAGGTCAGGGGCCTTTGGTGAAACTCATGCCCCCCCACCCACCTTGTAGCTTTTTGGGTATGGGCCTCACCTTCTCTCTGTCACTCCACCCTACCCAGTCCCTGTTAGCTGCTCTCCAATATCCCAGGCACCTCCAGATAAGCCATGTCCCCATGGGACCTCATTGGGCATGGAGTCCAAGCTTTGTCAACCATTCTCCCCCTCCTGTTTGAGACACTGTGTGTTCCTACTATGGGACATAATGGCCTCTGTGGCTTTTAACAATCCTCAGCTCTCTCATCCTGTCTGTCCATCCCACCTCTCCTGAATTTCTCTGGATTTTATACCAAAACCTCTGCCGAAACCAGGCTGAGAACCCACACTTTTGCCTTCTAGCACAAACATTTGTCAGCACAACCAACAGCCTCTTTCAGTAGGAATTCTAGGGGAAGTCTCATTCCTTCCCTAGATCTTTCGAAGAATTAAGTGTTCTCTGTTTGCATTTTTTATGATCCAATATAGGTTTTAAGTAGGTTATTAATAGGAAAGACTCTGTTGAATTGTACAACATCTTTGAAAATTGTCTCCAGAAGCTTGAACTACAGAAACACTTGTTTCTAAGAGAACCAGCCACAGACATGCCTCACCCCTTTCCTTGCTCTCTCCACTCAGAGTTGTTCCCCAGTCTGTCTGTTCGGATACAACGGGCTTCTGAAGACCCTCATTGCCCCCCATCCCCTCTACCCACCCACCCCCCATCACCCAGTCATGACATTCTCTTACTCACCTTTTTAAGTGTCACAAAATCATTCTCAGCAGCTGTGCGCTTGTTGATTTCATCTTCATACCTGTTGGGACACAAAGGACACGCTGTTAGATTAGTTCTACTTTGTTTCCTTTTTTAATTTTCCTTTTCTAGTGGGTCACCAGAAATACCCTATTCTCTTGGAATATTAAGCATTCCTTAACTGTCTAAATTAAAACCATGATATCCCAAATGAGGATGGTTTTCTATAAATTAACTCTCAAATATGTCAAAACCATGATCTCTAAAGTTCTGTCTTCCTCACAAATAATCAACAAAGATCCTCGCCCCTTTATCACCACAAATGCAATTGGGTGACGAGTGGCTTGCTGGGGGAATGATCAGATGGCTCAGAATAATATTTGTCCTCCATTTAGCATTTACTCTGCCACCTACTTCTTCTTATATTCCTCAACAAGATCCTGCATGTTGCCCAGCTCTGAATCTTGTGATGTTCTTTCTGCAGAGAGTGAATCCACATATTTCTTCAGTTGGCCAATGTACGCCTGAAAGATGGGGTTCAGGTTGGTAGTTTGGGTGTTGACATCCATTTGCTGTAGCAGCTCCCATTTGGTCTGCAACACCTGGTTCTGCTGCTCCAGGAAGCGCACCTGCCATGACCAGAAGGAGAGCACATGAGTTCTGGGTTTACCTACTTCGGAACACAGAGACGTCTACGTGGCTTCGTCCTCCCCAGCTAGATAGTGGATAACACCCGACAGAGCTTCTGAGCTCCCTGCCTCCATGCTGGGAAAATCCTACAGACTCCTAATGTTACATCCAGCACTTTCCACACACACAGCTCTTTTTCCTGCTTCACCACCCACTATTTTGTTTGCAGCTGTTCCCAAGACTCCAGGCCATTCCCCTCCCCCATCCAAGTTGAGTTCTCGGCAAAGGTCCCATAACTTCTGGCAAAAACCAAAAGCAGGCATCCACTGGCACTGCACCTAAGGGTGATGAATGAGAGCACTGGGAGGTACGGCTCCTCAGTCTGGTTTTTAAGAAAACTGTAAATTCTTGAGACAGGTTCAACTGCCTTGAACTAGCAGTCCAAAGCGACACCAATAAAGGGATCACAAAACTGAGACTGCTTCTCTTCAGGGCAGGAACTTCATTCATCCTCAAGCAGCTATTTCAGATTCAGCTTCCCTTCATTTAATAGAGTAATACCTTCTAAGGAAGGAAGGATACTCTCAGAAGAGATCTTACCAATTCCTTCCAGAGCCTGCTGTTACAGAACTAGTTAGTCCATGATTTGTCTACATCATGTTACCTAGGGTTTTCAGGATTTTCCATAAACATTATTTAGGCAAAAACAATAAAGTCAAGAGCGAAAGTAATTCCTAACAGCCGGCAATTATAGAAGATATACCCCATGAAGGCAGCTCCTGTCCCATTGGGATAGTGCCAATAACTTGGGCTCTGTATGACTACACTGATGGCTCCTAAAAGAAACGCATCTCCATCATTGGCTTTTCAATTAGCACTGGCGTCTTGAGCATCAGCTGGAGCCAGCTTCTCAGGACTCACCTTGTCGATGAAGGTGGCAAATTTGTTGTTGAGCGTTTTGATCTGCTCCCGCTCCTGAGATTTCACATTCTGGATCTCAGGGTCCACTTTCACGTTGAGAGGCTGCAGGAGGCTCTGGTTGACCGAGACTTCATGGATGCCTCCACCAGGGAGTCCACCGGGCCCAAAGCCACCAGGACCCCCAAAGCCACCGCCACCTCCTAAACGGCCTCCACCAAAGCCGCCGCCTCCAAAACCACCGCCTCCGAAGCCACTGCCACCTCCGAAGCCACTGCCACCGCCACCGCCGCCACCTCCGAAGCCACTGCCACCTCCGAAGCCGCCGCCGCCGCCACCTCCAAAGCCACCTCCTCTGCCACCAAATCCGCCACCGGAGCCAAAGCTTCCACCTCCTCCAGCCACACTAATGGAGATGCTTTTGGTTCCTCCAAGGCCGACAAGACTCCGGCTGCCAAAGCCGCCTCCACCGAAGCCCCCTCCGCCGCCGCCGCCACCATGGCGGCTCAAGCAGGAGAAGCTGGCGCCTGACCTCCGGCTCCCACCGGAGATCACGGCCGAACCGCTGCTAAAGCCCCGGAATCCTCCTCCACCTCCTCTTCCTCGAGATTTGCACGTGATCTGACAACTCATGATGCCTTTGCCCAGCAAGGAAAGTTGAAGGTCCCTGAGAAGAGTTCAAGCTGGAGACTCAACTCTGCTGCTGGGAGACTGTCAGGGTCCCTTTTTATATATGCTACCAGCTAGGTGTTGGTGTGCATGGGTGTGGGCCCACTTATGCAAGGGTTTGGTCTGCCTGGAAGCTATTCCTGGTGTATGATTATCAAACTAATAGCCATTAAAAATCTACCATCAGCCCCATACCAGAACTTGCTTTGATTGCAAACTTCTCCTGTTTATCTAGGCATCTGTCATGCAATTTGATTTTTGTAAAATCATCAGAAGAGACGATCAGAATGTGGGTTTCTCAATCTGAAAAAGGACCTTCTGCAGAATGCTGCTCCTGCCCTGGACCAGCCCAAGGGAGGCCAGCTACCACTCGGTCCTGTGCAGGCTCGTCACCCCAGTTGAGCTGATAAAAGAGATGACAGCTTTAGAGTCTGTGGGAGCCCCTCAGTACCAGCCTTAGAGTTCTGCTTGCTTTTCCCACTGCCCCGGGAAGAGTTTTAACAAGTAGTTTTACATGTGCTATTGCAGAAATAGGCATCCTCTTACAGAAAGAAGTTGGCTCAGGATACTGCAAAAGAGTTGTCTTTCTTCAAAATATCTTAACTCTTTCCTTCCCAGACCACAACAGGAATGCACAATAGCCAGGTACCGAGGAGAGGACAATTTTCTTTCCTGTAACCAGAAGTTGTTATAGCCATCATTTTCCTACACGAAATCCCAGAGGATGAGGGTCTTCAGGAAAGTTCCTCTATTTCTGGGTCTGTCTCACTCTGGGCACACAACAAAAGATTGCAATCAAAGGCTTTCCACAACTCCAAGATCCAAGCGTACATTGATTTAACCAGCCAGTAATCATGTACTGCCCAGCGATCCTCCGAGGCAATTAGCAAGTTGGGCTCCTCAGTGATACCCAGGATGGATGAATACCCATCAATTCATCAAATGCACAGGACACCAACACCTAAACTCAAGCACAGTCCTTCCTTTGTCCACGTGGCCAAGTACATGGGAGAGGCACTATGGAATACTAGAGTTGAATTTAAAGACAGAAGTTCTGGGTTTGAGTCCAAGTTTTGTTTTCACTGTCTCTGTGTCATTGACTTAAACTCTTGAGTCCTGTATTCTTAGCCATAATATGGGGAATTCACCTGAAGTGTTTGGAAAACCACAACATGCACAATAAAAATGTTAGATATCATCGTCTGTTTTGGGTGAAGCAAAGGTATCTCCTTTTTCTTTCATGGGCTACGACCATGCCCTTCACATAGTCAGCTAAGTTATAGAAGCAGGATTTCTCAGATCCTAGGTCAGAGTTATTGTGCAATCATGTAAAAAGCACAAGCTTTGACCTGAAGTCTCAGTTGCTTTGTATTTTAGTTAAATGACCTTGGATAATTCATAATCCTCTTTTAGCTTCAGATTCCTCAACTATGAAAAGTGAAGAAGAAGAAGAAGAAGAAGAAGAAGAAGAAGAAGAAGAAGAAGAAGAAGAAGAAGAAGAAGAAGAAGACTGTTGTAAAAAACAGAACAAGGTAATAAACACACGTGCTAAGCACAATTTCTAGTGAACAGCAGAAACTCGATAAGTGTCATTTACCTTCTTGCGCCACCTCCCCCAAGTCTCCAATCCTGTGTCTTAACTACGTGGCCAAGATAGAAATGAGGGTAGAGAACAGGGAGCTAGTTATTCAAGAGATTTGACTTGCAATAAGAGAATACTGAAGGAAATAAGTTCTTGTGTCTCCTTAATTTATTTTCCCCAGTCGGGCTTATATAATCATAACTATGTGAATAAGTCATAAAGCTAAAAGCGTTGGCGAGAATCTCAATCCAAAGTCAAATGTGTTATCTGTGGCTATCTGAACTACGCCCTAATTGTCCATTACTCCACCTTGACTGTGCTGAGGCCATGCCAGCTTCAGGGGGCTCTTAGTCCCTCTGTGGCGGAAAGGAACGAACATTAATTGAGCGTCTACTGTGTGCGAGGCTCCTGCCCAGCACACAGTCTGCAAGTGTGAGTGCTCTGTAATTCTGCTCTCACACCGAGTCTCCCTTCCCAGTCTCTCGGCTGAGCACCTTCCTTTTCTAGACCCATTTGCCAGTTTTTGAAAGTCAAGTTGAAGAGGGAGGATCCTCCTTTTCTCTTTCAATGGAGAAGGTGGAATAATAGAACGTAGATGTTATAGCATTTTATTTCCATACTTTTTTAACTTTGTCTTTTACATAATCTTAATGTGCTTGTCTGGATAACATGTTCTGTGTTCTTTAAGGGGATGAAATGGGAGTTAAGACGCTTGGTTCCAGCTGGGATCTTGTGGCTGATTTCCACAGCGGTCATCAATTTCTCCATCTATAAAATGGGAACTTATCCTGGATCCCACAGGGTATTGATCTGTCAGTGTAATGGGTTTTAGCTTTGCTGCCTCTGAGAGCAGAACAAGGATCCTGCAGGCCCAAATCCTTCTTTCAACAAGCTGCCAGCAAACCGAGGCCCCTGAATGCTTTTTCTCATAAGTTTTCAAAAGCATATCCGTTGGCCGGTGGAGCAGAAAAGCAAGCTCCCAGTGTTAAGCAGGGGGGGGGGGGGGGGAAGTATTGAGCCAGTGGGAAATAAATGTGTATGCTAACACCAGCTTCTCCTGATAGGAATTAGTCTCCCCCTCTCATCTCCTCCCTTAGCAGCGTCTATACCTCCCTTACAGCCTCATTACAGCCCTCCTCGTGTTACAATGAGCCACGTACCCGGATTTCTGCAGGGCAGAGCCAGGCTCATATTGATCTTTACCCCAAACCTCTGTCACCTCAGCACAGAGCAGTCACTCAGGGAATAAGCCTACAATCTAAAAATTATTTTTAGGCTTTGGGGTTTGGAATTGCAGCTTTTCCCTGACATGGAAATATGATGTAGCAATGCTTGAGCCTTCTTCACAGCCTGCCATGTACCTGTTCCCGAAATATCCCACCTGCAGGTTGTCTCAGGTTTCTGTCCCACCCCTTCCCCCCATGGGCCTTCCCTCCACAGGCCCGGAGGTGAGTCTCTCCAAAGCCTCAAAGCATCAGCGGAACAGAGCTGCTGAGAACCTCAAGCCATCTGTTCACACAGCCCCAGAATGGAAACCAAACCAAGTGTTTAGAGTTCAAAAACAAAACAAATAACAAACCCTCCTCTTCCAGCTCCTGCTGCTGAGTTCAGGCTGCTCAAGGGACCAACACCAATAGCGTCCCATAACACCAAGAAAAAAGTTCAGAAAGCAGAGAGGACAGCCAGCAGCAGGCTGTAAACAAGCTGCCCACAAGCCATCCTGCAGCAGAAGCGTCCCAAGATAGCTGTACCAAGTCCCCGTACTGCCTGCTAAGCTTGGCACATTTCATCAGAACCGCCCCAGCGTCTCTACGAGAAGGTGGGACAGGAGACTTCCAGGCTCCCAACAGGAGTCACTTGCTCAATATCTCCTCCGGGGCATTTTTTGTAAGTGATACGTTAAAACTGCTCACTCATCTATAGCCCTAGTCCTTGACCCAGTTCTCCATCACAGCCCTTGCCTTCCCTTTCTTTCTTAACTAACATGTCCTTTTAAGTTTTGGGGGTCTTTGTTTGTTTGTTTGTTTGTTTGTTTGCTTGTTTGTTTGTTTGTTTGTTTTCAATCGACCACTTTTCTTAGCACCAGCCCCATAGCTATCGATTTTAAGGTGCTCTGGGCAAATTGGTTTTAACTGAGAAGCCAGGCTGGTGAGCAGCCAGGCCTACCCACCGGATGAAGTGCCTAACACCTCCCACTGTGTGGAAAAGTTCATTTTGGAATGCAGAGACTCCCAGATTCATCAGGAAAGCAGGATGTGCCCACCTCTCGGAAACAGGGCAGACCCCAGAAACAGAAGGAATGAGGGCAGGGACACTGCCCAGGACACAGCAGGGACTCATCACGTGTTGGTCGAAAAGGCAATTCAGAAATCAACAAAGGAAGCCTCCAGCATCATGCCTGGCACACAGTCAGTGCTCAACAATATCACTCCCCTTCCCACTGCAGTGACCAAAATGTCACACGTAGTTCTAATTTTCTAATGGGGCCCCAGCAGCACTGACCCAGACAATGGGAAGTTACACATCCTAGCTTGGTTCTCCATGGGATGAATTCATGGCTGAATGAACTCAGGTCCTGGCGTTGCTACTGACAACACACTGAGGCATGTGCCTTATCTGCTAAAATGTTGTCTAGCTACTGAACTCACTCTGACATGTGTGCATGTGTGTTCTCATCTACATGTCTGCATTCACAACGAGAGAGCCAAAAAGTGGCTTCCCATGAAAAGTTCTTGCCAATCCCAGCTCCAACCTTTGTTCCGGGCACCAATATATTCTTATTCTTTCCCATTACCATATATATAGCCACCCCAACATGGGAGGACAAGACAGCCATCAAATAGTCCATCCCATCCTGGTTGTGATTTCAGAAAAGTGGGGTCATTATAATGTACCATTCATGCCTTCCTCACAGTTCAGAGGCTCCTCCAGGTTTCCCCGGATTTAATGCTGCCTCCTTCCTACCCAACCCCTCACTCTTAGGAAGGCTTCCTGATGTAATGCTCTATTGCACTGCGGCCATTCACAGCTGTAATTCACCATCAGTACCTCTACCTGGGCACCTGCTATTTATTCAGCAACATCCCCGTGCCAAGTGCCCACTGAGAGTCTCATCACATGCTTTCAGTCCACGCTTTTCCTCCCACCCTCTGCCCTCACTTCACCCTGCCCCATCACTGTGACCTCTTTTAATGCTTTCAAGGCTTACTGTGTTGGCTGGGGATAATGGTAGGAAGAGGCAGATAGAGAAATATGACCCTGCACACACACACCAATAAAAAATGAGAAAGAGAAAAGAATGAAAACAAATGGAATTGTAAAAATAAATTAAAAACTTGCTCCTTATTTGAAGAGACTCCTGCTCCTCAGTTTAGTGACAAAG